ACATAGGGTGAAGACTTTCAAGTAAGTCCTTAGGGCACAGGTACCCTATGACTCTGGCGTGCCCTGTGCAGAGCTACATCCTGGAGGGAAGGACTGTGGAGGGGGAGGGAATGGGATGTGCAGAAGAGTCATCATTTCCTATTCCTCCTCAGCACTGCCCCATTGGATGCTGGAGTGTGGCCTGCCTCTCCTCCATTCTACAGGAGAGAACAGAGGCACACAGAGAAAGGACCTGTCTAAGGCCACCCATTGTAGAAGCCAGAGCAGGATCTACCCCTGAGGCCAGGCAGCCTCTGAATCTTTTTCACTTCTCCTATGACACTCCTTGGTGCCCTCCTGACTCTGCTCCACTTCAGTGGCTGAATAACGTTGGGCTTGTGGTTTAACCTTTCTAAGTTTCATCTAGAAAACAAGGCAGCCCCTCCTGGTGATTCAGATGATTAAAACAAGAAATGGTACCTCCTACTGGTGGCACTCAGCCAGCCTTGGACCATCCCTTAGGAAGAAGAGAGGTGGCTACTTCACCACCAGGTCACAAATTCCACAGAGCCTATGCTCTAGAGCAGCCCGCTCCCCTGGGTGCATACACTCCTGGGATGGGGGCTCTGGTTCTCTGAAGTTGCACTATCACAGAGTTCTTTCTTCATTGGCACCCCTTCTGCCTCCTTCTCTGGGCCAGCTCTGCTAGAAGGGCAACTTGGGTTGGGGGTTCCAGGCCCAGTAGCCATGACCTTTCGTTTCTCCCAGTGGAGACTGTTGGGCCAGGATGCTTGTCCTGTTTCCTTTCTTGATCACAGTACCCTCTTCTCTGACACTCAAGACCCTCGAGTCTGAGCCCCAGAGCTGGGCAGGGTTGGGCCAGAGAAGCAAACAGCATAGTAGGTCCCCAGAGCTGCTTGGAGCAGGAACTGCTCTATGTGCCCACAGGCTGAGGAAGGCTGTGAGGAACCAGAGGCTTCCACTTAACAGCTTCCTGGACCCCCATGGAGCAGGAAGGCTTTGGTTGGGGATCATCAAACAGCTCCCAGTTGTGACCATACAATGATTGACAAGTGACCATCATTGGTCTCAGAGCTGGCACCCTGAGCCCTGGAAGGAGACAGAGACTTGGTAAACAGTGGCTATGGGACTTCCTGCCAGTGCTGGTGCATATGGATTCAAGATGTGGATGTCATTTGGAGAAAGGAATACATGGCACTTCCTTACCTGTGTGCCAAGCAGTTCACTCATGATTTTATTTTATTTTAAAGACAGGGCCTCACGTAGAGCAGCCCGGCCTTGAACTTGCTATGTAGCTGAGGAATTCCTGATCCTCTTGCTTCCATCTCCCAAGTGCTGGGATTACAGATGTGCACCTCTATGCCCTGCCAAGCAGCTCACTCTCTACCTCAGCCATCAGAGACCTTTCAGTCCATACTCAGGGCCTCAGTTCCCAGGGCAGGGGGCTGAGAAGGCTGGTATCTCTTGGTGCTGATGGGGAAACTGAAGTTTAGAGAGCGACTCACTCAAGGAGACATGGTGAGGGAGCACAGGGCAAGGGTAGGACCAAGGATCTGCTGTCTATCCAGGGATCTGGGTGTCTCAGCTCACCCCAGCCACATTGCCTTGGTTCCAGAGATTAAGGAGATTAACTAAATCCTAGGACTCTGGGTTTATCAGAGGCGCCACTCTGGGGGCCTTGGGGTGAATTGGCACCTTATGCCTCCGGGTCTGTCTTGGTGGCTTGGGACACCTGACTCCCGCCCTGGCTGGTGGCCCACAGTCTGCTCTAGGCTGGTGGGGCTGAGTGGCGAGCAGATAGGCAAGCAGCCAGCTCTACATTACGGACCTGGGATGGGGTGGGCGGGAAGAGCCTGAGGGGCCTGAGGGGCCTGAGGGGCAATTTTTGTCCTTTTACTGAAGGCCGCCTCTAAAATGAGCTCTCCCTTGCTCAGAGCAGACCCCTGACTGGGCTGGTCAGGTGTACTGTGACTTGCATCTTTTCTTTAAAAGGATAGCTGGCCTTGGTAGATGAGAGTATATGACGGGAGAAGTGGGGAATCAAGGAGTCTGTCTGCCTGGGCAGAGCTGAGTGCAGTGCTAGATGCTTCTCATATGCATGGCCAGACTCATTTTTGCAGAGCATCTGCCAGCTGTGGCCTGTGCCATCTCAGCCATCTGGGGAGGGAGCATCATGCCACTCTCCAGGGTAGAGGTGGCAAAGCCACTGTTCTCTCAATGCAAGGCTTAAGTCAGTTCATACAACTCCTCTGGAATCTTCTGTATCTGAGGAGAAGGGAAGGGGTCATCAAACTTGAGAAGTTGCTGCATCTCCCTGTGCCTCAGTTTCTTTGTGTCTTTGGGAGGTGTTGATGGCTGTGAAAACACAGTGGATTATGTCTGTGGATCATTTAAGTGCATCTCAGAGAATGAACTTGGACCTTGGGAGGGTGGGAGTCATAGTGAGGCAAGTGCCGTATGGATGACAAGCATCAGGGATTCCCTCCACAAAAAATGTCACATGGGGTAAGGACCCTGTTTACTATAGGCCTGAATGGCTAAGACAGCCAGGACTCAACCTGGCAAGAAAAGTACAAATTCATATGAAGCAAGAGATGTCCCTTCTTAAAGGATGTTGAAAGTCTGAGGAAACAGAGAAAAGATCTTAGTTCTCAGAGGAGTAGCACTGAAATGACTGAGGTTTACCCCCACACAAGAGCCTGTCCACTCAAGGCAAACAGTGGCATTTACACTTGCAGCCTGACTCGCAAGCTGATTCTGAAGTTTGTATGGAAAAGGTGCCAGAGGATTGCCAAGAAGGTGCTGAGAGTGGAGGACTACCTACCAGCGCACTGGTGGAACACGTTTCAAGGCTAGAGTAACTGAAAGAGAGTGGTGTTGGTGTGAGACCAGGTTGGGAAGCAGGAGAGAGGAGAATTGCACCCCACAGTGAGGGGAGCCCATGAGCAAGGGTGCCATATTTTGGCTTTTGAAAATAGATCCCTATCTCACACCATGCACTTCAATTCTGGATAACACTAAGGAACTTTAATACATCTAAAGCTTGTGTGTTTTTGTATGGAAGAGCAAACGTACATGTGTGTATATGGGTGCAATAAAATCCCTAGGAGAAAATATAAGAACATATGGTGTAAACTTGGTGTTAAGGATGTCTTTCTTAATGGCTCATCCAACTTAAAAACTACAGAAGAAACAACTCAGTATAGAATATTTTTCAAAAGCCGACAAAGACACTTTAGGGGACTAGAGAGATGGTTCAGCAGGTCCTTCCTGTGCAAGCATGAGGACCTGAATTCAAATTCCCAGCATCCACGTACAGTTTTGCTGAGCATGACTGCATGTACCTATAACCCCCAGTACTCTTGTGGCCGGTGGGGGGGGATCAGAGACAGGAGGCTTGTTAAGGCTTCCTGGCCATCAGCCTAGCTTAGTTCAGTAAGAGACCTTGTCTCAAGGGAATAAGGTAGAGAGTGATAGAGCAGGACGCCTGATGTCCTGTTCATGTATGTGCGCATGCACCAATCCTTCCCTCCACACCCACAAAAGACACTTTAAACAAAAAGAGAAATGGTGAAGAGAAAGTGCAGTACTGCAGGAACAAGATGGGAAGGGGGCTTGGGGATTTGGGGAGGAAGAAGGGTGTTTACAGGTCTGCTTCCTTCCCTTTTTGGTAATAGAACAGTTTGTATAGGCTGATCATGTAGCTCAGTTGGTAGAGGGCATGTCTAGCATGCACAAAGCCCTGGGCTTCATCTCCAGCACTACATAAACAGGAGTGCCTGTAATCCCAGCCTCAAGAGGTGGAGGTAGAGGGATCAGAAGTTCAAGGTCATTTTTGCTACATAGAAAGTCCAAGGCCAGCCTGGGAAACATGACATCCTGCCTCAAAAAACAAAAAATAAAAGGTGATTGACACAGGACTATCAAAATGATGGTACCTAGGCTGACGGCCAGGTGGGGCAAGGAGAGTGTGAGGGCCTGACAGAATCTCCTTCCATTGTGGAGACCCAGAGGGCCCTGTGGCTGGTGCTGGAGGAACTGGCCGGTTGGAGGCCTGGCACTTGGCCCAGGGGTGGATTCTAAAGTAACAAGGGCCTGTTCAGGTACCTTCCTGAGACAAGTGCATTTCCGATCTCTCCGCCCTTCTAATGCCGGCCTGGGCCCTTGCCAGTCTCTATCTCCCTACCCCACCTGAAGGTTCCAGTCCCTGCTCCCCCTGTCTTTCTGGGCTGTGCTTTGAGGCAGTGTTCTTTCCTCTTAGATGACTGTTCCTTCTATTGCTTTCCAGGGAACAGAGATTGATGGTGGCCTCCCGGCACCCACTGTGCAACCTTGCTGTGTGCTGGGATTTGTGTGACCCAAGTCATGGGAGATACCAGGAGCAGGCACTGTTTCTAAAACATCTATATGCTCTCAAGTAAATGCTAGCGCAGGGCCAGACTATACAGCCACAGAAAAGACACATACAAAATATAGTGATTGGAGTCATGGACCAGGAGCTTCCAAACCTGGAAAAAAAATGAGGTCCAGAGAAGGTTTGTGTCTTGCTTAACATCACACAGCAAATAGTCCTAAGATGTTGGGACACCATGAGGTGTGTGGGGTGGGACTTCTTATCTGCCACCTCATCTACTATAAGAGCCATCATCCTGTCCCTATTGTATAGATGTGGAGACTGAGGCCCTGTGAAGGTGGGATCTTGCTGAAGGTCACCCATAGGTGGATACAGAGACCCATTTGAATTCAGAGAGATGTCTCCTGTACCAGAGTCAGATTGCCTGGGTTTCCATATTGGGGTTGTCATTTTCTAGCAGTGAATTCCTACAAGTCACTTGATTTCTCTGAGCTGTCACTGTTCCCATGTGCAGAATGGGGTCTCCTGGGGCTTTTGTGAAGGTGCCCAGGTACCTGGCAGGTGATCAGTAATCACAGTGGCTTCTATCTTAAAAAAACAGGGCATCCCCTTCTCCTCAGGGCCCAAAGACATTCAGGCTCAGCTAGGGTTAAAGAACATACTTTACTCTCTCTCAGGGCAGGGATTCTGGCAGTGACTCTTTGGGCAGGGTCACGGAACCATGCACACGCACACGGTACAGACAGGTGAAGCGTGGGTTCCCCCAGTTGCTGGAGATCTTCACTTTAACTGCAGCAAAACCCCGGGGTGGCTTGTTCTGAAACAGAGAGCCAGATGGGCAGCAACCCCACAGGCCTCCACCCTACCCAACAGAGAGGCATTTGGAAGAAGGGAACTCTTCCATTTCACAGGTGTGGGAATGGAGACCCAGAGAGGGGACCAGACTGTTCCAAGGCCACACAATAATTCAACACTTGGGGACCGGGATGGAAAGTGCTGAGGACAGAAGGACAGATACAGTGCTGTGGGGAAGCTGCCCCAGCCTAGGAGCCTTGGTGGACGTGTATGCTGTAGGGCCCTGAGTGAATTACTGTCTCTATCTCTGGGCCTTAGTTTCCCCTCTGTAAGATGGGAGTAATCACAGCTATTTCCAGGATTGTTGTGAGCATGAAACGAGATCCTGGAGGGCTTGCCATGGCCACTCTGTAAATGCAGCCCCTCCCCACCCTGCTCCTCTAAAGAGGGTGTTGCTGGTGGTTTTCAAGTCCTTGCCCAAAGCAATAAAACAAAAACAAAAGCAAAACTCAGTGCATGGGCTTTACCTCCCAGGGCATTACAGAGGGGATACTGACATGGAGTGAAAGCAGAAGGCTCAAGTCCATCACAGAATTTGTGATGAGTCTTGGGCCAGTGTTGGTTTGCCTGATTCAAACTTGGAAATTCAACCTGCTGAGTCGTCCAGTCCTGCTTCTGTCTCTCCCTAGTTTTCTCCTCTCCAGGCCTCAAGCATCCCCTCTGCGGATCAGGTGTAGACTAGGGGCTTCCAGGGGAGAGACTTTAACTTGGAGCCAGGAACCCTACCTGATGGCACTTTTCATTCAAAATTTTCTGTCCAGGGAGGAGATGCCGCAGAAGGATTTCTGGAGGGACCAGGGATCAGGGAAGACTGCCTGGGCCTAGAGGGCTCTCTCTGGGCCCTTCTCTAGAGCCTGAGTAGCAGCTCCTTATCTCTGAGGCTCAATTTCCTTGTCTGTCAAGTGGATTGGTAAGGACTGTAGCTCTCAGGGCTGTAGGGGACTGGGTACAGCTGCATATGGGGCACACTCAGTGGGTGTTCCACAGGTGGCCTCTCCAGGTACCTGGAGCGGGAACATCTGGATTGTATTTTCTGGTTGAAACTGGAATGCCCCCAGGAACACCTCCTCCCTCGGGGGGTTTTCCATGCCCTGTGGAATCAGACAATGAGGCATGAAATATAGCAGGCTGAGACTTGCACAGTTCTTCACCAATATGGGCAGTGACTGTCATAGGTCAATGTCTGGGACAGGAAGGGGCACTGCATGGCGAGTTGGAGGCTGGAGTCTACTTCTAATCCCACCACGGATGGGAAGGATCTGGCTGCTTCTCAACCCTTCTCTGGACTGTCACAGCAAATTGGGGCCCAATGGCCTCTCTTGTCTCAGAAAAGTCCCTTTTGAACAAGATCTATCTTGTCTATCTTGGTCTTAGACGGCTGAGATATGCCCCACCCTGACCACTCCAGCCTGACAGACCTGCACCCCTGAACTCTGCAGGAGCCATGTGGATGGGTTCTCCTAAGGCCTAAACCACCACCACCACCTGACATGATCCCTTTAGCTCGGCCTGGCTCCCTGTCAGCGCATGCTTACATAGATGACAAAGTCCTTGGGTGCTGTATCCAGGCTGCCTGACAGTGAGATGGTCTTGGGGATGTGCTGCAGGGTGATGTTGGATAGGTAGACCTTCTGGGCCAATCGAATGGTCACCTGACCACGGTCACCGGTGAAGGCCCAGCAGTTGCCAGGTGTGACATTGGGCTGGAAGAGGCAGGTATAAAGGAGCTGTGCTGCAGAGATGGGGGTCCCTCCTCCTCTGTGCCTGACTCTTCCTCAGCCTCCTGGATGGTGCCTATCTTTCCTAGCCACAGAGCTTGGCTCCAGGAGTGTGGGGAGAATGTGACCTACATGGAGCCTCCCAGGCTCCTGCCTCTCCCTCCTCAGTACCTCTTTGTTCATCCATTCATTCACACTTCATTCCTCACTCCCATCATTCTTTGCATGCTTTTACCATCACCCTATGACTTGGGCTTGGAGATGCTCTCCATTTACAGAGAAGTCTAAAGTACAGAGTAAGGAAATGAGTGAGTGAGTGGTCTAGGACTGTACAGAGCTAGAAGTGCAACTCAGGGCAGTTGGCCCAAGTTTGCTTGGTGTTAACCACCATGATCTTGACTTATAAATGAGAAATACAGACCCTAGAGATAGAAAGAGGTTTGGCTCTAAATCACAGTGAAGCTGTTCATTCAGCAGGTGCTGAGCTTCTTGGAGATACAATGTGCATGGTCCTGATCAGAACCATGATGCTAGGATGGGGGGTTGGAGGGGCAGGGGTGCTAAGGAAGGCCTCCTTCAGGACCCCTTGGGACAAGGGTAACTAAGAGTTAGCTGGGGGTGAACCACAGGGACATCATGTCACCCCAGAGGAAATCAGGCAGAGCAGGTAGTGCAGGGAGCTGGAGCCAGCTGGCCAGCCTGGAGGTGCAGCGATCTGGGGAGCAGAGTCTTTGCCAGCCTGCTCTCATCACTGCCCTATATCTGACTTCAGCTTGAGCGTCAAAGCCAGGGTTGGCTCCTTGCTAGTGTGGGATGCACCAGCTGCCTCCCTGGCCAGCGCTTGCTATGTGCTGTCATCTTTTCCTTCTGCCTCGGGTCCTTGGTGCCTTCTTGTCCTTGGCCACTCTAGTAGGAGGGCTCCTCATCCCTGGGGAGGCCACTGCCCTAGCTGGACCATGGGGCCCATAGATGGGTGGCCTGTGGCACTGCCGTGGATTGGCTATAACGGAGATCTGAATGGTGTTTGCAGTGACTTGGGGCTTGGACGGGCCTGTTTCCCTCTCTGGGCCTCAGTTTCCTTATTTGTGAGGCAAGCTTTCAGAGGGGTGAATTTTGGCTATGCCACATGCCGTATGGCTAAGTGATCCAGCTCCTTGGCCTCATGTGCTCCTTTGTAAAGCAGATACATCATGGGCCACACCCGGGGTGGCCTGAGTGTTCTCGGGCCCTAAAGTTTCAGAGCTGGGTGTGGTCTATGCCCTCCTGCCACAGCTCCCTGTAGCCCCTGGTCCTGTTCTTACCTCTTGCGTCTGTCCTTTCACTCTTCCCAGCTCTCATCCTGCCTCTTGCCTGAAACCTTGTCTTCATCCCACCTCTGTTTCCTGCACCCACCTTCAATCCTGCCGCACCTCTGCTGCTAGCCCCTGTCCCTAGCTCTCTCCTGGCCCTCTCCCACTTGTCCCCTGCCCTGCCCCCTGCCTCAAGGATCACGTCCGGGGGTTGCGCGTAGTTCCACAGCCGGATCCAGTTCCAGTAGGAACGAGCCTTGTTGTGGTTGTACGTGGCTGATGTGTGCTCGAAGTCGATGCTGGCCCCTGCATGGAAGATGGTGGGGGTGTCTCAGCCTCTGCTGGAGGGACACCAGCATTGATGATGTACTGGCTTTGTGCCAGTGCTTAGGCTGAATCCCCACCCTCTCTGGAGCTCAGTGCTCCCTCTGGGTAGTGGGATGGGCACTATAATTTGTAGTAAGAGCAGTGTGTTGGATAGCTTTGTTGTCAGTGTCACACATCTGGGAGGAGGGAACTGCGATTGGGGAATTTCCTCTATTGGATGGCCTGTGGGCATGTCTGTGAGGCATTTTTTTGATTGTTGAGAGATGTGGGAGGGCCCAGCCTATTGTGGGGGGGTGCAACTCCTAGGCATTCCTTCCACACACACCTCTGTTCCTGGGTTGTATAAGAAAGCAGGCTGAGCACAGGCTGGTGGAACAAACTAGTAAGCAGAAGTCCTTCATGTTCTGTGTTTTAGATCCTGCCTCCAGGTTCCTATCCTGTGTTCTTGCCTCAGTTTCCCTTGATTATGGACTGTGAGCAGTAAACCAAATTATCCCTTTCCTCCCTAACTTGGTTCGGATCAGTGTTTTATCACAGCAATAGACACTTACTAAGACAAGCAGCATGCCAGGGCTGTATGGAAGGAGTAGCACATGGGCATTTCCCAGACAGCCTACCCAGTGCCAGGTTGGACTGCTTGGAGCAGCCACACGCACGTGCAGGATGCAGAGAGCCTCCCCTGATAGGTGGGGGGAGGCCGGAGGTGGCCCAGGGGAGAGGCTCATACATCTGACCCTACACTTTGCTGAGTCCCAGGTGCCCTGGTCAGCTGATGCTGCCTCATTGGGCCATTCCCAGCCCCAGGCAGCCTGAGCTCCTCGAGGCCTCCTTACACATTCATTCTCCTGGTGGAAACACTTTTCTCTCATTAGGCCTCAATCTAAATGTCCCCCAGAGAAAGGAGTGTACTCTACCTGGTCCCCTCTTCTCGAGCCACCTGCTCTATTGCCTCTGAAGCAGATTTCTGAATGCCATTGGACCCAACTGGTTTATTTCAAAAGCCAACCTCTCCACACAGCATCTAAGACTCCTCTGTATGCCCAGCCCTAGGTTTAGGGAGTGCTAAGGGGATGAGGGGTGGTGGAGGGGCAAGGGCAGAGTTGAGGGTCATGGATTTCTGCCCTCAACTCCAGACCCCATTAGAGAATATGAAATTAGATGATGTAGCAAAACACCCAACAGGGAGCAGAGGTCAGCTTGGAGGCTAGACTTACCAGCAGCAGTGTGTGCACTCCTAATGGACATTACAAAAGGTTTCTTAGGATGCCTGAGGTAGGCCGATGGGAGAGGCAGGCCACTTACCTAGGGACTTCAGGGCAAAGTCGGGCTTTTCGATGTAATCACCTTGTATCATCTTCATTATTTTCTGTGTCATTTTTTGCTGAGAAGGCAAGAAAACACAGCTGTGTCCTGGCACATTTTTACAGATTATGAGCCCCATTTGAGTGTCCCTGGCGGATGGCAGGCAGCTATAGAATACCCTCCTCTTACCAGCTTATCCCTGCCTGCAGAGGCCCTGAGTAGGATGGCCCTGTTGCTATTCTGTGAGGAAGTCCTGTGACATAGAACAATCCCTACCCCCTGGGTTTGCTGTGAGGTTTCAAGTTAATGCTGACCAGATGTCATACAGAGTCCTGGAGTCTTAGTGGGTTCAGGGGCAGGGTCTCTGGAAGCAGGCAGAACCTTAATGCTACGGAGTCTTGGGCCATATGTACTTCTGAGTCTAGATTTTCTAGTCTTTAAGAGGGCAATAACTCATCTACCACCACAGCTGTGGAGGATTGTTGAAGATTAGTGTAAAGCCTCCACTATGTGTAGAAATGCTCTCATCCTCCATGGCCTCCCTGGGAGGTTTGTACTATTATCACCCCACTTTTTTGTTTTTGCTTTGTTTTGGTCTCCCTGTAGCCACAGCTGTCTTGGACTTCCACCCAAATTTTAATGTAAGGCCTTGGAGACTAGGGAAGTTATGGCAGGATCAGAACCCCTGAGATGACTGTGAAGCTATGTGGTTGAGCTGGAGCAGCAGTGGAGAGCTTAGGAAGTCAGGGATGCCAGGAACACGGAACATTTTCCCCTGGCAGGGAAGGTGCCATTGGGTTCAGGGATGTTATATTCTTGAAGGACTATAAGACAAAACTAAAGACCCGAGAACCCTCAAATATATGGCCAGGCTTTCCAGTTCAGATATTTGGCAAATTTTTGAAGCCACAGGGACAGCTTCAATCTGCATCTGTCTAAACCAGCTTGATGCATGCCAAAAAAGAAGTGATACTTCTACTTCATCTTTTCTACAGAAAAAGGGAAACTTACTTAGTGATAATTACAATATCTTGAGGCATCTAGAGTTCTTTTTATATAGTGTCTAGAAAACACTGAAAATCACCAGATATTAAGAGGCAAGACCAAAAAGCTGATACTAAGAGAGGGGAGAAAAACACCAGAAAACAGGCAATCACAGATAGCCCCAAGAATTGGAGTTAGCTGATAAAGGTTTTTAAAATAACCATAATTAAAATAAAGGAAAAGATAGACAACATGGAAAAAATTGTGAATTAATGATGGAATGTTAATTTATGAAAAGTATTGAATGTGAATTATAAAGCTAAATAATGTGATATATGAATTGAACAGTAGATTTTTTTGTACCAAACATAGTATTGAAAATGAGTCTGAAGAAAATTCTGACAAAATGTCAAAACTTAGGTACACAGAGAAAAAGAATGAAAACTAACTTATTTTAAAGGACTAACATAGATATAATCGGAATATATAGAGAAAATATTATGGGGAAGAAGGACTATTTTAAGACTTTAAAAAAGTTATTAAAATATTAAAACAGATTCAATAAGCTCAGCAAACCCCTAGGCAGTGAATTATAAAGAATACTGTGTAAGTTCCCAAGGATAAAAACAAAACCAAAACAAACATCAGATTATACCCAAAGGGTCAAGGAAAAGAATGTATAATTTTCCACAGTAACAGCAAAACTAGAATACAATGTTGAATTCCTTAAAAATGCTCAGGAAAAGCTTCTGTTTCTAAAGTTCTATACCCAGCAAAACTATCAATTAAGAACAAGGGTAAAATAAGGATATTTTTAAAACATGTGAGTTCTAAATGGAGGGGGAGACAATGTGAGAGATAAAACAATGCCTAGCTAGTTTTGAAAACCAGAGAGAACTATATTACTCTACAACTCACTGACAAATTATACATACCAGATCAAGAAATATATGTCCAGGTAAGGTTTATCTGAGAACAACTGGCCTTTACCCAAGATTTATCTACATGACACATAGTAATTAAAAATACCAGACTGGTGGAACTAACCTTCTTGGGTGTTTAACA